AGTCAATAAATTAACTTAGCTGTTTTTTTCCCTGAAGCCTCATGCTCCATGAGCAGAGGCCTCCCTCCATTCCCTCATTGTAAAGTAAGCCTTAAGCTAGTATTGGAACAGGACCAGACCATTTCTGAAGTCTCCACAGCTCAGCTTCCATAGGTGAGAGATTTAAATGGCTATTGGACTACATAAAACAGTGATTTGAGACTGTGAAGATGGAGCTTGTGTGGCAGGCTTGCCAGCAGCAGCCCAACTCACTGGCTTGAAAGGGCTTAGAATGATTGGTGGGGCATTTCCCACCAATCAGGGAAAGCCGGGGGAAAGGCTTGCCCCACCCCTACCCAGGGGTGAGGTGAAAAGACAGACCAGAGAGGGGAATAACCCCACCTCTCTCTGGTCCATCTTCAATCTGGGGGTGCAACCTCCCGAGAGGATAAAAAAGCAGTGTGCTCAGCATGCAGGCAGCTTTGACAAGGGACAACCAAGAGTGCTGAGAAGAGCTGGCTGAGCTGACCAGTGGGGTGGAGCAGTTGCTGCAGAAGTGCCTGGAAGACATCTCACTGGACGGGGAGCAGCAAGTGGCTGCATCCCCAGCCCCACCATGAAGGGAGCATGGTGATAGTGCACAGGTCAGTGCATGGCGGGCCCAGGAGTGGGCTGAGACTCTGGCACTGCATAAGGCAGCTCGGGTCTCCAACCTCTGCATGAGGTGGGGCAGATGGTGCATGGAGGGTCCGTGAGAGGGCTGACACCCCTGCACGAGGCGGGGCAGATGGTGCACAAGTTGGTGCATGGAGGGTCCGGGAGTAGGCCAAGACCCCTGCGTGAGGCAGGGTAGATGGTGCACAGGTCAGTGCATGGAGGGTCTAGGAGCAGGCTGAGACCCCCTGCGTGGCACACGACAGCTTGGGTCCCCAATCCTTGCATGGGGCGAGGGGCAGACGGTACACAGAGCCGAGAGGGGCCAGTAGTGCACGGAACACAGCACAGGGCCAAGAGCGGGCCGAAAGCAGGAAGGGCCCCAAAGCAGCTGAGGGCCCCCTGCAGAGGGAGGAGATGTCTGGTCCTGGGAGATATGTGGGGCCTCATTTGGCCCCAAAGGAGTTATGAGTTACCAGGGAAAGA